TCCAGGAGGACTCTTTATAATCTTTACAGCAAGTAGTGTTCTTGTTCCCACCCATCTCTCCCTCTGAACCAGCATTCATGCCAATTCCTGAGGGTCTATCAAGGACATGACCACACTGGCACGAAGTGTAGCATTTATTTCCAACTTCAGCACCCACATCTATTAAGGCAGTCGTCACATATTTGAACTCACAGTCTTGAAGGAGACTAGACTGGAACTTGGTACCCTTAACGAAGTTGGCACAATGGTCTAAAAGAACCAGTGCCCCTCTATCTGAAACATTATCTTGAAATGAAATTACTAACACCATCAACATTAAATGGAGCCCGCTCAGATGGTGAAATACACCATGCAAATGAGATGAAGAGTGTGGAAGAGAGAAGAGAAACAAGAGGAAGAAGAGAGGGTTAGGAGAGAAGGTGGGGGAGGGGGGAAGAGGAGGAGAGAAAGAAGGAGTGGAAAGAGGAGAGAGGAGAAGGAGAGAAGAAGGGGAAGTAGAGAAGAGAAAGATGACAGAGGAAAGAAAGGAGGTAGGGAGGAGGAGAGAGGGAGAAGAGGTAAGAAAGCGATGGATAGGGTATAAAGATGGTGTATGGAGAGCAGAAGAGCCAATGATAGCTTTTGGGGGCTGACATAATATTGAATTGATATAATATTGAATAATACAAAATAGTGTTGGTTATGTAATGGTATACACGTGTTTATTTGTATGAAAATTAAAAAATAACAAAACTTAAAAAACATTATCTTACTAAGAGTTGGGTTAGGTAGACCAAGCAAAGCTCACCTTTATTGTCTTGATCACACTGGCATCCTTGTCCAGTTCCCAGTTTTCTTTCAGGAAAGAACAGATTCTGTTGACAGCATCACCGACATTCTTTTTAAACTCCTCGCTGGGAAGGAGGTTCGTACCAATATAGTCATCAAGCCTTTTAGAGGGGATGGAATACAGCTCCATTCTCTCTGTCTGACACTCCATTTGTGCTACAGGGATGAGCGGCAGGACTCTATTTATCTTATTGCCTCTCTCTGATGTCACTACACAAGCTCTTAAGGTGGACTAGACTGTGCACAGTAGAGTCAGATTTCTCAGACGTGTACTTTCAAATAATGTATATAAAAGCTGGGCTGAAATAAAAATAATAATTTTGACATTGTGAAATTAATGAATGGGAAGCAGCAAGAGAGTATTTTGTATCTGAGTACAACAAAACAAATGCTTGTCTATGTTGGAAAAACTTCCACCCTTCATGGTAACCATTATAAAAAATACTGGAATGCTTTTAACAGAACACAATGTATAAAATAACTTTTTATTTATTGTTCTTGCTAATCGAGGTTCTCTAACTCTAAATATATACCAAGTTTTGGGGGGTCCTTAAAGTACTTTCATAGACTACCTTAAAAGGCCGAGGTCGGAGTCAATATCAGGGCGTAGAGGTTTCATTTTTTCCTGCTCGAAACTAAAGTGCGAGAAACGAAAGTCAGGTTGAAAGGGGGTGAAAGGCCGGGAATCCTCCAAGCGAGGATAGGTGAGTCTTTGGAGACTCACCCTTTCCGTTTAGATCCCAGAATGTCCAGTTCGCAGAAAATTCAAGCGACGGGAATGAAGAGCTTTCAGATTTCCCAAACGCATCTCGCATTCAGATGCTAGGACTACCGCTCCCATCGTCGTCGTCCCCAAGACAGAGAAAGAGCCAGTGGTCTCAAAAGAAAAATATAATGAGAAGTGCCAAACAAACTAGTTAATGTAGCTGGGATTCTCAGGAACCAACAACCCTATCGCGATTAGGGTCACCCCCTATGCTTGAAACAGAAATTTAGAACGCCAACTCCTAGCGCAGTGTTATGCATTCGCTGGCTGGGGAATTCTGGGAGTTGAAGTCCAGACATCTTCAAGTTGCCAAGGTTGAGAAACACCGTCCTAGCGGATTGCAGCGCCTCCCCCCCCCTCCTCCATCCCCACCCGCGACTCAAGGAAAAGAACCAGGTTGCTCAGCCGAACCTCTGCAGTTGGATCGTCGAACTTTGGCAGCTCGGAATCTACTGGATCCACTGGGTTCCCATTTGCAGCATGGTGTGCGACAAGAAGGACGGCAGCCGTGCGCCCTTCCCATCGCTGGGTGTGTCTTTAATTTGATAAATTAGAGGCCCCCGGCTGACTTTTAAATTAAATAAAATCCTGAGATCCATTCCTAATGGAAATGTAGGAAACGAAAGGTCTCGAGTCTCACTAGAGGCTAGAATGAGGAAACCCGCGAAGCCAACGGGTTGGAGGCGATTTTCAGTGCCCTGGAAACGCTCCGCTCCTTAGCAAATACCTAAGAGAACAGCGAGCTGGGCCGGCGAAGCGCCTCACAGGATCTCTAGTTAGTAGCCCCCATACAAGGCACCAATTGGCCTGGTACGTGTAGACTATGTACAAAACACAAGAGGCTGAACCCTGCAGACATGATACCCTGAGATATTAGATATAATTTATCTCATCAGACTCAATATCTCATTTCAATTCCTAGTGGTAGGAGACAGAAGGAAATATATATGTAATGATTCTCATCAAAGTAATTAAATTGTGGAAAAGTCTCAATTCTGTATATCCAGCCATGCCTCTGCCTATTTTTGAGATGTCTCTTGGACAAAACCTACCATGCAATAAATGTGAGCCTGAACCCTGTGGATATGGTTGCATTGTGGCTATACAGAAGAACTTAACATTCCAAAGCAACTTGTAGGTCAAGACAACTCTTCCTCCTAAGGTAATTTTCCGGGCAAAACTGGTGTCATTCTTCCTTCCATTTTATTTCTAAAAGTTGACCAGATGAACTTGTCTACCTGGGACAGAATCTGTCGGTACAGGGAAGATCTTATCACATAATGCACCTCTGTCTTGGCTAGCACCTCCTTTCTGCTTCCTGGTCCAGTTTCCATTGCTTGGTGAAGCCACCAAGGATCTGACCTCAGTATTTAGAGTTGGGTCCAAAGGCATTTCAAAAATCCCTCCAAAATTACAGTCCTGGGGAAGGAGAAATTTTCCCAATCATATCTCAAGGACAGCAAGGGCAATGGCATTGCTATGCGCAAAGCCTCTTGGGGACATCTTTTCTTACAATTAAGTTGAAGTATAAGAAGCCATCGGAGTTGCAGAACCTTGAAGAGATTGTGGTGTGTGTTTGTGTGTGTGTGTGTGTGTGTGTGGTGTGTGTGTGTACAGGACATTCAAGAACAAGTTTTGTACTCCCTTTAAAAAGATGAAATAACAACTAATTTTATAAAATTGAATGAGAACTGGTAGAAAAAAAATCAGCACTCACACGGCATTATGAAATGGAGAGTGGTTAATCTTTTTTTCTGGAAAACTATTCCAGAAACTCGTTTTTTTCCTGTAAGGCTACAAGGACTGCAACAGTGTTGAAACAGGTTTATTTTTTCTTTTCTTCTGTCTCTTCATTCATTTTCACAACCACCTTAGTCACTAACTCTTCCAGGGTTAAAGTTCTTCCGAACCTGAGACTAGCATTTTTTTAAAAAAAAGATGATCCAGGAGCCATGAGGATTAAGAGAGATATTTTCCCAAATCACTCAGAAAATTGTATTTCTGAATTGTGTTTGACATTAGCAGTAAAGAACTGCAGTTACATAGCATTATTATTTAACACGACTAATAATTCTTGGAATCATTTCTGTTTTCAAAATACATTTAAGTCCTATTTGCAGTTTGTGTCTCATCATTTAAAGCATTATTATAACACTTTACTTCATTGCAAAAAAAGAAAAAAGAAACTGTACGAGAGAAAGAAAAACCCAAACCACAGCAATTTGTAGAATATCTGAGATTTGTGCCAACTTCCAAACATTTTATGTACAATATTTTTTCAGACTACATAGTTGAGTGGAAATGCTTTGAGACACAGCAGCAGAAGTCTCTGAAAAGGAATAAAAGGTGAAATAAATAATTATAAAAAAACCTTTCTATTGTCTCTGGACTTGTCAAAGCTTCAGATGGCCTGATCATCTCAAATTTTTCCCACTTATGGGACAATTTAGGGGCAGCTTAACCCAAGAATGTAAAGTTGAGAAACTGGATTTAGAAATTAGCATTGCATTGTTACACAAAATACAAGGGCATTTTAATGCCTATAAACTGCCACCGAGGCAAGCATGATGTCACTGTCACTCACTCCCCACACCTTCCTTGGGATTGTTCATTCCAGTCTCATTTAGATTAGATAGGGATATTCACAACCTTTGAAATTGCTTTGAAACTGCACACCAGAGAAACTGCTTATACCCCCCTCTCTTTTTCTTTCTCCTTTCCTCCCTCCCCCACTTGCAAAATTTATTCTCTACCCAATTCCAATGCACTTGTATTCCAGGCTTGTTCCTCAGATCTCAGCCCAATCCAGCTTGCTATTTCACATCAGTACCTGCACCTTAAAGTTTGCTTTTGTACAGAATAACAAACAAAAGAATGATCAGGGCTTCTTTTTTTTTTTTTTGAAAGGCTGATTATTCCATGTTTGCTGATAGGCTGAGAATGGTATGAACTTTCTGAGTGCCACACAAATTGCTCCAAAATAGGCTTGGAAATGATCCAAATGAGCTCTTGGTGGCATCAGACTCCCCCCGCTCCAGAATTACAGTTGAGCTTTGGTGGCTAGCAGCTCTCATCCCCAACCAGATTGACACAGGAGTCAAATGTCAAATGTTGGTGGAAGATGTTCTGTCTAGCAGGAAAGAGTGGGAGGCATACTATACAATTCAAAGCAGGGCAGCTGTTTTGAATTGTATACCAAAATGATCATGATCAATTGCTAATCAAGGTCCAATTCCTGCACCAGAGGTGGCATTCAGCAGGTTCTGACCAGTTCTGGAGAACCGGTAGTGGAAACTTTGAGTAGTTTGGAGAATCGGTAAATACCACCTCTGACTGGCCCCGCCCCCATCTATTCTCTGCTTCCTGAGTCCCAGTTGATTGGGAGGGATTGGGGATTTTGCAGGAACCTTCCCTTGCCACGCCCACCAAGCCACGGCCACAGAATCAGTAGTAAAAAATTTTTGAATCCCACCAGTGATGCATGCTTTCCAGAACAAGATAGTATCCCCATAACTGTGGCTCATAGCAAGGATCTCCCTTGGACTGCTCTTTCGCTAGAAAGGGTCTCAGGCTAGTGAAAAATCCTCTGGGGCCTTGACTAAATGCAGATGGGGGTAGGGCAATTTCTGCTGCTTCTTTCCTCTGCTTTCACATCACCATCACCACAACAGCTTGAAACTTCTCATACAAGTTTATGCCCAGAAAATCTCAGTCAGAGAAGTCCTCTGGGCAAGAACAGAGAACAGTGATGGCCACTCAGGGCTGGACTACATTCATCAGTCAACAGTCTGTTAATAAATACGTCCGTGGTTGCGTTGCTCTTTCTGGAGACAGAGCCCACTGGGGCCTCTTAAGCACAGTTACGCTTGGATAAGGAAGCGAGAGGAAAGAAGGCCAACATCGCGCTCCAGGGTTTAGACAGATTACATTGTGAGAGGTGCCCAAGCGCTCTCCTTGTCAGGCGATGACGGAATATCAGTGGAAGCTCCAGAAAACAAAGAGCACTAAGAGGTCCCTTGGTAACCGTTTGGCAGCCACTGGATCCTTGCAGAAAAGAACTGTGTTTCCCAGTGCCTGGTTTTCTTCTCACTGGTCAAGGATGTTCAGGATGAGGCCTCTGGTGCATTTGGTCCTTGGAGGCTGCTACCCTCGTCTTTGGTTGTGTATTATGGACAGGTCAGGAGTGCAGATCTTCCCCCATTTCCCCAGGTTCTGTTGCTCTCTCTGTCGAGATTTTGAAGAGTAGCAGCTGTGCTACTAGGAAGGGTCTCGGGCTAGTGAAAAATCACACCAAAATCACCCCCTACAAACTACAGGAGAAGCAGCAATCAGGAGTACGGGACTGGTGTGCAAGGATGTTCTTTCCACCCAACCACAGAAGCCATAAAAGATCCTGCTCTTTTTCTCCTACCATCCCTATTCCCACACTCCCACCCTGGCCCTTCCCTGGCCCTTCCCAGCACAGAGATTTGTATTAGTGCGTCTTATGCAAAGTCACCAGATATCTGTGCTCCGAGGAGCCCTTTCTGCCCGGGGCACTTCATGCGTTCTTCGGCTGCGGGCTTTCCGCTTTTCCTCCAGATGTTTCCATTTCTGGCCTTTAGACTTGATGTTAAATAAAGGAGGCAACGGAGGTGGCTTTTTCTTGGGCTGGTGGCTCTTGCGGCTCCATAGCTGCTCGCACACCTGGTCCACGGTGCTGAGATTGGGGTGATCCACCAATTGTAAGAAATCTTGATACCAAAGTTTGCGGTGGAAAGGTTGTGTGGATTCTTCTTCCCAAGAGAGGGAGAGAGAGTCAGCCTGCTGGGCAAAGATCACTTCAAGCTGGAGGCGCAGCAGACCCTGGGTAAAGCCATGCTCTGTTGCATGGCAATAGTAGAAGCCAGCATCTTTGCGCTGCACACTGCGCAACAGGATTCCCCGCTCCATCCTGATGACCCGATCATCCAGCAATACCTGGAGGTTAATGAAACACAGACAAGTGAAACTGGAATGAACGATCCAATTTTATGAATTTTATGTCTCACTGTGAAATTGTCTTATTACTGAAATCTGTACAAAAGATCCTCTCAGGACATTGGTGTGATTGGAGTCAGAGAGAGATAGGAAAGCATCTTCTCCAATGTTGCTCCAAAATTGTGGAATGGATGCAAGTCCCTCCACTCATTTTACTTCTAGAAAAGATGATGATAAGCCTCTTAATTTTCGGTGTTCCATTTGTAATGCCTTAAAGGATGATTTCAGGGGACTTTATTATTGTATTGTTTAATTTTAGATTCATTCTGCCTTGGTATTATTTATATACATACTGTATATACATATTTCCATATTTCCATATCTACATAAAAACAGTACGTGTATTTAGAAGGCTGACGCCATATCAACAACTTAATCCAAATTTGTTAGCCTCACGTGCATTCAAATAAAAGTGGGATCATCACTAGCATTCAGATGCAATTAAAGGTTCTTCTCTGTCCCCTTTAAAGCCCTAAATGGCTGAGGCACTGGCTATCTCTCAAAAGACACCCATAAAACATGACTAGCTAAGAAAGCTTTGAATATAAACTACACTATCCTGAAAGTGTGGTGTATGAAATTGAGGTCCTTGTTTTTATTGCATCATTTGCAATGGTTTCCCTCCTGTTTCTCTCCATATGGCCTTGTTGTAAGCTAGTCGTTATGAATGGAGTGTCATACAAGTTGGGATACATGAATGAAAGGTTGAATAAATAAAATACCCTATAACTTATACAGGTAGTCCTGGACTCACAACAGTTCATTTATTGATAGTTCAAAGTTACAGTGGCACTGAAAAAAGTGACTTATGACCATTTTTCACAGTTATGACCTTTACAGCATCCCCTTGATCATGTGATCAAAATTCAGATGCTTGGCAACTAGTTCATATTATGACGGTCCCAAGGTCATGTAATCACCCTTTGCTTCTGACAAGCAAAGTCAATGCGGAAGACAGATTCACTTGCCAATCACGTTACTAACTTATCAACTGCAGTGATTCACTTAAAAACGGAGGCAAGAAAGGTCACAAAGTGCGGCAAAACTCACTTAAGAAATGTCTCACTCAACAACAGAAATTTTGGGCTCAGTTGGGATCGTAAGTCAAGGACTACCTGTAGTGTTTTATAGAATAAACCAATTAGCCAAAAATAGCCAACACAGACATCCTCTATATTGCTTTCAATTATAGCTAGTTGATGCTATCAGCATACTTTTTCTCATTCGTAGAAAAATGTGTGCACACAGCAATTGGGTTTTACCTCCTTCTGGGGCTCACTCCTAGTCTTTTGATATGTCCACACGATCTTGGCCTGCAGTGATTTAGGCAGACACTCTAGAAAAGTGCTGCTGCCTTCCACTCCATAGATTTTCTTTTCTGGTACACTGGTTTTCTGAGGATCTGTACAAAACCAGAAAGGAATAACATGAGGAATCAAAATCAAATTGTTTATCAGTTAAATGATGAGGAGCACATGGGCCCAGTCCGGTAGCAAAACCAACCATCAGGAAAGAAACATAACAACTTTGTTGAAATTAATTAATTAATTTAAGGATAGTTCCTTAAAACCCCTGTGAGGGCAGGATATGTAAGTCCAGAAAAAAAACCCAACCATGCAGAATCCATGTGAATTATGAATGAAAGAAGCTATTTCTGCCTAGAAGGGTTGATGGATATGAACATTTAAATGACTTGAAAGGATGGATTCTGATGAGACATCCTATCAATTCTCTGCCATATTTTTCTTTGGTTTTGGGTTTTCTAAGAAAAAGGAAGATACTGGATTTAAGCAAGTATTTGTAGTAGGCAAATTACAAGGACTCTAATTTGGAGTTAATTCAATAAAATAGGCTTGGTATAGTGTTCATTTACTTTCTGCTCTGCTGCCAAACACCCTCAATGGCTAAGACATTGATAGCGATCCTGGGAATTTCAACACTCATTCAGTAAGATTGTTTATAATTCTAGACCAGAATTGCATAGCTTTCATGGCTGCCATGGGTCCACCACTGGACCCCATGATCAAGATTAGATCTAATCTAATAACAACATTTCCCTCCTGCAGGGATGGAGAGCCCATTAAAATGATCCTGCACCTTAGAGTTGTAGGACTAAATAAAGGGATTTCTATAAGTCAGCAAACCCTTGTCTTATGGAATGAGGAAAGAGAATAGGCCACTGATACTCTCTGTCACTGTAGAGACAAGGTGTGGTTTTCTTAGAGCTTATGGACAATAAGCTTGATTCAAATAGATTAAAAGTGATAAAGGTTTCACTGTACAGCCCAACCACTGAGACATTTATTAATTTGTGGTAATGGCTGTAAAGATGAAATTATTTGCTGCTTCCATTACAGATTCAACTATCTGTCCAGCTTCAACTTTTTATGGCAGACAAGAGCTTACTATTATGGGGCCAGATATTGTAATGCAAGAGCCAGTGGTGAAATTCAAATTTTTTTACTACCAGTTCTGTGGGCGTGGTTTGGTGGACATTGTGTGGCTTGGTGGGCGTGGCAGGGAAAGGATACTGCAAAATCTCCATTTTCACCCCACTCTGGGACCAGCCAAAGGTGGTATTTGCTGATTCTCCGAACTACTCAAAATTTCCGCTACTGGTTCTCTAGAACCTGTCAGAACCTGCTGGATTTCACCACTGGCCAGAGCCCTGTTCACATATGAAGGATAAATTTAAACCATTTTCATTTTAATACAAGTTCATCTAAGCCAGGAGCGTCAAACTGGTGGCCTGCGGGTCATATGATCACCTTTTGCAACCCCAGCTTTGCAAAGTCAAAAAAACATCATGATATGACACGTGACTTCACATGATGCAATCAAGTATGACACCCGTGATCCAAGCTGATACCAGCCAGATATTAAAACAAGTGAAGAAGCTGTACAAAAATCAGAAAATGTGGAGGCAGCTGGTCCATAGAATCACTGAGAATCAGGCCCAATTGAATGAATAGCATCCTTATCATCTTCATCCTCATCTCGACTTCTCAAAGCTGTATATTAAGTTAAAAAAGATAAAGTCGCCTTCAAAGAGAATTCAATTTTTGGCAACAACTTTGAGACCTTCGTATTGCTTTTGATATGCCAATGTTTTGTTGCTACTATCTTCCAGGATAGTTGTTTCAATTTCCAAGTCTGGTCAACAACTCTGGAATTTCCAATCAACCACTGACCATATTTTCTTAACTTTTCAAGATCAAGCTCCTTGCTCACAGCTATAATGTAAATATATCAACAACTTTAGCACTCTTTCGACTCATCCATTGAATTAATGTTGGATAGATGCTGACATCTAAGTAGGCACAATTATGTACTGTTTTCTGAATATTGATGCAGTAGGTAACATTTAAAAGTATACAAATATTCATATGTTTACAGGTAGTCCTTAACTAACAGCAATTATCATTTAATGACCCTCAAAGTTACAATGGCACTGAAAAAAGTGATTTATGACCATTTTTCACACTTATGACCTTTGCAGCAGCCCCATGATCATGTGATCAAAATTCAGGTGCTTGACAACTGATTCATACTTATGTCTGTTGCTGTGTCCCAGGGTCATATGATCACCTTTTGCAACCTTTTGCAACCTTTTAGTAAGCAAAATCAATGGGGAAGCCAGATTTACTTAAAAACCCTGTTACGAACTTATCAACTGAGATTGTGCCAGATGGGCCCAAGGGTCCTAATCTGATATTAGATCTTACCAGGTTGACCCTTATTTGTCTCTGTCTCTGTTGCAATATTAGGAAACTCTTTGTCAAATGTACTGGCATGTTCATTGACCTATGTACCATAACATTTTGGAACGTGCGAGAGCGGCCCCTGAAGCTAAGATGAGATATGTTAACGTCAACCATAGCTTTAACTATATATGGTTTCTGTATCCTGTTTTGATGTACTGTATATTGATATGTGTAAAGAAGCTTCTCCTTTCCATATGGTTGCCACTGATAAAGGCCAAAGAAGTGTAATGCCCAGGTGGTGCTGGGCTTGCGAAATGTATAAAAATAGGTTCCACCACAAAACCGCGGTAGACTAAAGCGCGCTCGACGAAAGTGCATACGTGACGTCATCACAGCGCGACGAAAACATT